TTGCTGCCAACTCCACCATGGACGTCCCCCCAACGCCCAAGTGCCGTCAATTCAAAGGGTTCCCTACACTATGCGGGAGGTAACATTCAGGCATAAAGCTTCTGGTCCGGACTTGATTCCTGCCATTGTACTGAAGACGTGTGCATCTTATGAATCCGGCACCTTCCCGAAAACTGGAAATTTGCTCATGTCCAACCCATCCCAAAAAAGGATCTAAGGACCCTTCAACTACAGGCCTATAGCTCTGCTTCCTGTTATAAGTAAGGTGAAGGAGAGGTGCATAAATCGCGAGCTTCTGGACTACCTCAAACGTCACAGGTTGATTAGCGACAGGCAGTATGGTTTCCAGCACCAACGATCCACAGGGGACCTCCTAGCTTACGTCACGCAATTGTGGAGTAAACTCATCCAGTCTTATGTTAAGGCTCATATCGCTGCTCTTGACAAACAACCTCCTTTCCTGCACGATCAACCCAGTCCATAGCTTCGCTGATGACAGGACTCTACATGCAGGAATTCAGAGTGACAAGCCGATCTCTGCCGCTGAGCTGGAAAAAAGAAGACTAGCGACGACTTCCTCTCTGACAAGAGACCTGGAGGCTATCACTGCTTGGGGAAGTACCAATCTTATACAGTTCAATGCTTAAAAAACACAGTACTCTACTTTGACGAACAAAAAGCGTCCTAGCGCTCATCCAGTTTTGATGGATGGCCGAGTTCTGCCAAAAAGCAATTCATTTCGGCTGGTCGGAGTCCAGGTCACCGAGGACCTGATCTGGCACGAGTACATCTCCTCAATAGCTGCAGGTGCTGGGAAAAAGCTATGCTATTAGTTTAGGGCTAAGAAGTACTTTTCTCCGCATGACCTTCTCACTCTATACAAGGCCCAGATAAGGCCTAGCCTCGAGTATTGCTCACACGTTTGGGGTGCTGCCGCCCCGACTACATTATCCATGCTCGATGCTGTCCAGAGGAGGGCGGTCCGACTGATCGATGACTCTTCTCTAACAGACAGTCTCGTACTATTTCGCACCGGCGGGCCGTCGGCGATATAGCTCTTTTCTACCTCTACAACAACGGGCTTTACACCTCAGAGCTCTCTTCCATGATGCCGCCGCGCTATGTGCCTGCCAGACAGACCCGCCTAACTTTGGCGTCCCGTCCTAACCGTGTCGAAGTTCGTACATCCAGAACTGGCCGATACGATCGCTCCTTTGTCCCTAGGGTATCGAGATTGTGGAATAGTCTAGTAGCGGTGCCCTGCGCTAAGGCTTCGGTGGAAAAATATGCGGCTGGATTCGGCTAGACAAAAGTGACTATCTGCCTGAAAATCAGGATAAGTTTCAGATGTTACACATCAGGAGCACGAGCACGTGAAAACGCCGTCACAAACTGGTCATCAGATCAAAAACTCTAGATCCCCTCATGCTTGAGATTTATTGATGCAGCTTCTAAAACTGATCTTGCGGATGTCTCGCAGATTTCTTTCCAAGTTCCATGTGGAAAGAAAAATCTTACTGCATTTCGCCCACCTCGGTGAAAAAGACCACCACCTGAAACGACAACCAGATTTTCCTTCGACGTATATGGTTTCATTTAACAGCCAGTGAAACATAAATATGAATCTTCCATTTAGTGTCTTTTTGATATTGTGGCGGTATGAAAAAACAAAATTTGCGATCCCATTTTTCATATTTCAAATGCAAATCTACCAATATGCGTAAGCGATATTATCCAGTAAACAACGTCCGACGATTCCTTATTAATTTGTTGTTACGAATATTAAAACATATTGCCCCATATTTTGAAAATCAGAGCGGAAGCGATTTCTGTTTGTGGATATTTCATCGATGTTTCTCAATCGGTTTTTCCAAATTCAAATTATTTAAAATATGAATACAAATAACCATACTAGTTTCATTTAAAACAAAGTTTATTTTAAGACGATTGTAATAAAGTTACCACACTTTCGAGGTAGATTCCATTTCTACCGTCGGACGGAATTTGCTTTGAAATAATTTGAGAATCCCACGTATGTTTATTTTCCTGACTAGCTCGGTTATAAAATTTTTTGCATTATAACAGCAAGATACATAGAGTTGAAGATATGTTATCTGAAAACAATGTTTCGAAGACTCTCTGAATAAGTCAAATAACTAGTCCCAAATACCTTAGTATCTAATATACAGGGTGTTCGAAAAATAGACGGAGATATTTTAGAGGGTGAAAATATCGAAAAAAGTTTCTATAAACATGGGTCCGGAAATGCATGCATGAGTTTCCAAGGTACTGGGTGATAATTTTTATTCGACTTTTTAGAGAAATTTCGCAAATAAAATTACAGAAATAATTTTTTTTGCAAAAATTAACAAATCAATTTTGTATAGTGACATGCAATTAAACGATTTTAATTTTTTTTTCTCGAAAACGAAGTGAGATACGAAAAAATACAAGCGGCACAGAAGTTATATTTTTATATGCTTAATCTAACAACAAGTTAAAAAACATGTATTTGCAAGAAAGGCAGTACGTACATTTTTTCACCAATAATATTTGCTAAGGTGACCTCGGGACGCCACTGGACCTAATAATATTATAATATATAACAAATAATATTGCCAAATTTCAACAAAATCTAGAAGATATTAATAAAAAAAAGAAACAAAAATTTAAATTTACCCCCTGTATCTTGAGAACCCATGCTTCTATAAACCTTTTTTCATATTTTTTAACAAAGGAATCACCCTCTAAAATATGTCTATTTTTCGAACACCCTGTATACTAACTGACATATAAAATGCAACACCCAGAATTATTTATTGGATTTTGATAGAAACTTCGTCCTGAGTAAATCTGCTCCAGTGGCCTCCTCGATCTCCAGACCTTTCCCCCATCGAACATGTATGGGACATGGTAGAAACAAGGTCGCAAAATTCACCTCACCCTCCACAAACATTGAAGGCTCTACGAAACCAAATTCTATGTCATTCAGCATACATTGACGTTAAGACTACAGAGACAATTTTTCTATCATGTAAAAAATAGTCTTTTCATTTTACTTTCTGAGGCCTGAAAGGGGGGCGGCTGTCCCCCTTGCCTTTCCTGAATACGTTCATGTGGGACAAAAAGTAAAAATTTATCAACATTCATGTCGAGTACTTCCAAGACTAGATGGGTTTTCTCAGTTTGCGGCAACGCTTTAACGGGCCCTCAAATTGGATAAAATCAAGAGCTATTTCACATAGGCTGAGGGTCGAACATGATTAAATTCATCAATAATCCAGAATGCAGGATTCGAAATGCGAGATACCAAAGCCTTGCCGCCTACATACATACCGGGTGTATAGTTAGTAGTGGATTAACGAATTCAGGTGATCGAGGACCTTAAAACATATCGACTGAACCCCTATATGTGTGGTCCGAAATTTTATAGTTATATTTGGGTGCCCACAGGGCGGTGTCAGGGGAATCGTGGTAACAGTTATCTCTTGATGATGATCAGCACCACTGAGAAAAATTCCTGTGGGTACCCGTGGACAATAATATTATTGTTCTAATAACAAAAAGAAATATGGGAATTGTTGTGACATATCAACACAATTCAATTTTGGACCATAATAATGTTAATACTGATATGTTTGTAGAAAAATGTATGAGATTCGTATAACAAATATACATATACATATTTAGGTATTTGCAGTATACGTTTTTCTTCTGAACCTTTCCAGATTAGTAAGTAGATATGAGTTATCTTATAAAAGCATATGTTATTGACATTGCTATTTTAACATACAAAAAAAATTTATTGTTCAAGATAGCGCAAAATGTTAATAATATATGCTGTAATAAGATCTCCCATATCCCACCAAATTCATATATATAAAAGTATAATAATTTTAGATTTATATGTAGAGCTGGCAACGTTACGGGATATTAATGCACAATCTGGCAATCATGTCGCACCCTCAAAAAACTGGCCGCTGACAACCACACAAGTCACCGTGTTGTCATTGAATAGCATGGAATTAAACCTTCTTCAGTGTATATCTTTTGTGACTTAGACAGCCTTTCCTGGGCGTGGGATAGGTAGAGTTGGAAACATACGATGGCCTCCAAGGTCACCCGATTTAAATCCTCTAGATTTTTTATATGGAGGTTTAATAAGGGGATAATCTATACATCTGAATATACAAGTGTCAACCAACTGCGCCAGAAAATTGATGAAGTATAAAATAAAAATTCATTTCAAATACTAGCCATTTTTTATATAGAAAATAATGGAGGCCATTCCGAACATGTTCTTCAAAAGTTAGTTAAATCAAATTGTCTTCCACATTTGTCGGTAAATCGCCATGAAGAGCGACGAAACACAACAGGTTCTGTACTTGTAGGTGGTAAGTTTTCTGTTGCGTTTCTTACGTTTATCGCATCACAACAACGAATGTGACATGATACACTCATCGTAGCAACCTGAAATTTTCAGGGTTTATTCTACATGGATTTAAATAGATTTTACAATAAAATGAATAATGAAATACAAACTCAATTTTTTACCGAACTCCACAATAGAGGGATGGAAGTAATGTTGCACAAAAAAAATGAATTTAATATTTTTTTGCGTTTATTTCCAATAGGCTCTGTTAAAAAGTGACATAACCATTGCTAAACCTAACCACTTAACTCATCTCAGAAAAGAGTCACAGCCCTAAACCTAATGATTTAGTTGTAATTGCGACTGAAAGTTCATAGTCCCGTTTTTTTTTCGAAATTTCACAAAATTGCAAATATCTCCTGAACTACTACTACTAAAATTTCGGCCCACCCATATAGGGGTTCATTCGATAGGTTTTGTAGGCCGTCTATCACCTGACTTCCGTTGATCCACTACTAACTTTACACTTTGTACCTATAGTCACAGCTATAGTATAGGATTGACTATAGCAAAACTGGAACTCTTGTGAGCCACATCTCGCATTCTGAATCAACGTGTATTCGAGCTTTATACCCCCTACCTTCTCATGCGAAATGTTTGACAGCAGGTAGGGTCTTCCTCGTCCTCGTCCTCGTCCTCGTCCTCCTCGTCCTCCTCATCCTCTTCAGGCTCCTCAGGAACTTCGGGCACTGTAGGAAGTACATCAGGCTCTTCAGGAGGAGATGGATCATCTGGAATACCTGTATATAAGGATGATACCGTGGGGATATGTGGAAAGGGCTTCGTCCTGATTACGTCTTCTAAATTTACCACCTTCTTCCGAGATTTCTTTATTGGGCCCCTCATGTTCACTCTGCAAAAATGTCAAGTAGATTTAACTGACGCATCGGTATAGCTTAGAATACCATGGTCTAGGAAATTCCCATCGTATGTAGTCTTTAAATCCTGCTAATTATACAAGGTAAAACAAAATAGATAATGTGGTTTGAATTGTTCATAACGTTTTCCAAAATTTACTTTTTTTAGAATCTAGTAGAGCAGATTGATGGATGGAATTATCGAACGTTTAGATTGAGAGTTTGAGAAGTCTAGTTTCCATTCATCGGAATCCGCCAATGGTGCTGTAATGAGAGCTGTCAAAAACTATCCAAACCTGTAGTTTCAACAGGATTAAACTACTCACTTTAACCGATTTTTTAGCGGCTCTGTTATCAAATTTTTGAGAACTACATTTTGTTTTTTTTAACACGATTAGGCCTGTATGTATGCATGTAACGGAATCTTTGAGCATAATTTGCACCAATTTCCAGAAGTTTGATTAGTTTGAAACTTCGCACACGTATCAAGGACCCATGACAATGCTACAATTTGATACAGTTTTCCATTATCCTTATAAGAAAATTTCCTCAAAAAGCAGATTGCTATTAAAAAGCCACGGACTTTAAATGCCGGTTTACGAACACTGAAATCAGAAGCATCTGTAGCCCAAGTGGTAAAGCACTGGACTTGTAAACAAGTGGTCGTGAGTTCAATCCTCATAAGAGGCAGATTTTGATAAATTTTTTTTATTATTTTAACACGCTTTTATCAGCTTGACCTATATGTATGCATGTATGTATCTATGCATGTATCTATGTATGCTTGTATGTATGTATGAATATATATATACAGGGTGTCGCAAAAAAAGTGTTCAATATTCTACCAGCGGTTTCTAGAGCTTAAAATAGGAAGAAAAGTTTATATAAACATAGGTCGACAAACGTCCCCTAAGGGCGCTACGGTCTTTTAAAGGGGCTCCCCTGAAGATGGTTTTTCCTTAATATTTCCGAAACGTGTTGAGGTAAAGACATAAAATTTGGTATTCTAGCCTAGTTTTTTATACTGGGTTTAAAAATATTAACAATTTTAGACAGCTTTGTTTGGAAGCGTATGTAACAGGGACGAACTCAGGTTATTTTAGCCCCCAAAATTTTTGAATAATATCAAACTAAAAAATTTGTACTGTGAATTTAAAGAATTGTTGATTATACATATATAGTTAGCCATGACTGCAAACAAAAGTTGTTTTGATTTGTTATGACTCATTTTGACGTTAAGCTGACATTGTTAGCAGTGTAAGATTACTAGATTAAAATAAAAATTTTTATTAAATCGATTTAAAATGCCAAGATTTACAGACATAGAACTGACTGACATGCATTTTGTGTACGGGTTTTGCAATGGCAGTTCATTGGCAGCCGTAAGAGAATATCAAAGAAGATTTCCCATAGTACCTGCACGTCGAATGTTTACTGATATTCACCGGAATTTGTCAAACCATGGAAGTTTTCAGCGTATGCAGGACTCAGGAAGGCCACTGGGAAATCATCGAAATGGATATTGCTTTAAATATGTTCGAAAATAATCCGCAAATAGTAAGAAAAATTTATGAATACCTATTTGATAGTTATCCTAAATATAATAATTTTAGATAGGAAGAATGACAAGAATGCAAGGATTACATCCTTATCATTTTAAACGGGTGCAGCACGTAACGGAGGCAGATTTTTTACCACGAACCGAGTTTTGCCAGTGGATATTAGCAAATGAAAACACTATTCCTAGAATATTATGGTCGGATGAGTCAATATTTACTAGGAATGGTGCATTAATTTCCGTAATATGCATCACTGGTCAGATGAAAATCCAAAAGTTGATCGCTGTACAAATTTCCAACATAGATTTTCGTTGAACTTATGGGCAGGAGTAATTGGGGATCAAGTAATTGGGAAGTATCCCAATCGTCTTAATTCAGAGGTGTATCTGAACTTCCTTCAGAATGAGCTCATGGATATAAGACCATTGGATGTGCACCAGCAGTTTCAAGAAAATATGTTTTTTTCAACATGATGGCGCCCCTGCACATTTTGAACGCAGTGTTCGAAATCGGTTGAATGTCAATTTTCCAGACAAGTGGTTAGGCCGAGGAGGTCCTATAGCGTGGCTGCCACGTTCACCTGACCTAAATCCATTGGATTTCTATTTTTAGGGGTCATTAAAAAACCTAGTTTACTCGACTGAAGTAAATACTCAAGAAGATTTACTTCAAACAATCCATCAGGCTGCAAATGAAATAAGAAGAAAAAGGTTTTCCACTTTTCGGGCTACGAATCGTTAGTTCGTCGAACAAAATGGGAATTTCTTTGAACACTTATTGTAAAGCTAGTTTTAAGTATATCCAACTGTATGTCTTCTTTTTTAAACAAATTTCAATTTCGTTCGTAGAAAACATTTATTTCTTTTGTTTTTGTCTAAATGTTAGCTATGTTGCAATAGAAATATGTATTCATGTAATATTTACCTATTATTAAATTAGTTTTTTCGTTCTCATGGCTAATTATTCAACAATTCATTTAAATTCGCAGTACATTTCCTATCGTGTGACAAATTCTTTAGTTTGATTTTATTCAAAAATGGCACAATTTATCGATATTCAATAAGAGTACCTTTTTATTTAGAAAACCCTATATTTACAAATTCTAAAATTGAATTTCAAAAATAACATCACACAAAAATTTTGGGGCTAAAATAACCTGTCCGTCCCTGTTACATACGCTTCCAAACAAAGCTGTATAAAATTGTTAATATTTTTAATCCAGCATAAAAAACTAGGCAAGAATACCAAATTTTATGTCTTTATCTCAACACGTTTCGGAAATATTAAGGAAAAACCATCTTCAGAGGAGCCCCTTTAAAAGACCGTAGTGCCCTTAGGGGACGTTTGTCGACCTATGTTCATATAAACTTTTCTTCCTATTTTAAGCTCTAGAAACCGGTAGAATGTTGCACACTTTTTTCGGGACACCCTGTATATATATACAGTGAAAGCTCCCATAAGCGGACACTCACGGTTCCGTAACTTTTGTCCGCTTATGGGAGGTGTCCGTTTAAAAGAGAGTATGTAAGTATAGAGTATAAATAACGGGGTATATAATCATGAGGAAATGAGGTATTATAATCATGAGAAAAATGAAACAGAAACTCGCCACATTTTTAAAGTATGTGTTTATGCTATATATCTATATAATATATGTACATATACGCATACAAAAACATAAATGCTTCAATACATGGTACGAGAATTTAAAAAAAACATTATTCTTTAGCTTGTTGAAAAAAGTTTAAAATGTTTGTCTGACGAAATTTCACCATCTTCTGCTGAAGGAGACAATTTTCGTAATAACTTTCTAAATTTTTCAAATGTTGAAATGCAGTGAAATCATCTTTAGCAAATTTTTTCAATATAGAAATATGATTTAGAGCTTCCCCATATGAATTTATCGTTTTTGAACTGCTTAGTGAGTCCACCAGTTCCACTTCTTCTTCTGAGTCGTTTGGACTACCATATTCAAGTTGGCCTGGGCTTTCTACATCCAAATTCGAAAAGTTGCCAATGGCATTTTCTTCTGTTGTTATGTTATTGTCTATGGCCAGGAAATCATCTACTTTCTGGGGATCTGCTTCTCCTAAATGTTTGGCATGTCGCAGTAACTGAGCAAGTGTCGCTAAGGGCAGATCGTCTTCAGCATCGCAATAATTTTGCTCAGCAAATTCTGAGCTACATTCACTTTTTCTGAATCCAGCTTTGCCAAAACAGTTTCTAATTGTAGAGGAATTTACTTTATTCCATGCTGTTTTTATAAAATACAAAGCTTCTAACACATTGATAGACTTTGTAAGCTCAGATAAGCTTTGACCATCGTCAATTTTTGTTAAAATATGTTTTAAAATCAAGTGCCGATAATAAAATTTAAAGTTCTCTATGACACCTTGATCCATGGGCTGACAAACAAAAGTTGTGTTTGGCGGTAAAAATATAATTTTCACATTTTTCATTTTCATATCACGAGGATGAGAGCATGCATTGTCTAAAAATAAAAGAACTTGCCTTTTTTGGATTCTCATTTTCCGGTCGAATTCGACTAACCACTCAGACATGATTTCTCGGGTCATCCATGCCTTTTTGTTGGATTTCCAAGTCGCTGGTAGATCCTTAATAGCAACGTTTTTTAAAGCACGGGGACGAGCCGCTTTCTCGATCACAATCAAATCGCATTTTTCACCGGCCATATTTGCACAGAATAAAATGGTTAGTCTATCTTTAGACAACTTTCCACCCACACATGTTTCTCCTTTAAAGGACAGAGTTTTGTCGGGCAATGCGCGAAAAAAAAGTCCACTCTCATCTGCGTTGTACACATCTTCTGGTTTGTAGCCAAGCAACATGGACGGAAGTTTCTCCAAAAATTGTGACACATCAACTTGATCTACTGCAGCAGCTTCGCCAGATATGCATTTGAAACTCACACTATGTCTCTTGCGCCACTTTTGCAGCCACCCGTCGGATGCACTGAAATTATTATAGCCCAAAGTAGTGGCGATTTCTTTAGCTTTCATTTTCACTAACGGCCCTGAGATTGGAATGTTCTGACTTCTAGCTTTCACAAACCACTCAAAACATGTTTTGTCTATAGCAAAACCTTCCTTTTTTAAAAAATCCTTCTTTTGATTTATATTAGTTCCTGATTGCCATTTACTCCTGATATCTTCCTTATTTTTGGCAATTTCAGCTGCTTGCGTTTTCCCAATATTAAACCTCTTTGCCAAATGACGAACTGAAACACTTTCTCTGTCTAATACGTTAACAACTTCCATCTTTTCCTTTAACGAGAGCATCCTTTTTTTTGGTGCCATTTTACAGTTACAATAATAAAATACGTAACTCAATCAACTACGAATTTGCCTGAACTGAAGACAAGCCACAAGATTACATACAGGCTACCCAACGAAATGCGTAAATGGGGAATCACCTAATATAAATCGGGGAATTACCGAATTTTATGTATGTAGATATGTGCATTGCAATAAGCGGAACTAAAAAATCGTCCGGGTATTAGAGTTTCGCGTCCGCTTAAGGGAGATTTTTTGATCACATACAGGAAAATCTAGTGTCCGCGTCCGTTTATAAGAGCGTCCGTTTATCGGAATGCATTTAACATTGAAAATTGATGGCTGAAATTCGGTTCCAGGAACTTTGTCCGGTTAAAAGAGATGTCCGCTTATAGGAGCTGTCCGCAAGGAGAGCTTTCACTGTATATATATATACGATATATATATATATATATATATATATATATATATATATACATATACAGGTGGCCCATCCATGTGTGGACGGAATATTACTCATAAACAAATACATTTTGGGACAATCTATATATGGCATATTATACATGACATTTGAGGGCACATTTCTAAAATATTGGTCATTGTACAGGGTGTCCCAATTTCGATCTACATATCAAAGTTTTGATTTTTCCAATAGAATGTCTCAAATTTTATTGCATATTTGGATAAACCAATTCAAAAGAAGAAAATTTATATAACATATTATGCGGTTTTGGTAATTAGCTACTGAGATATAAGGTGTTTGGTCTAGAAAAACCTCCCACTTCGGCAACCCCTCAGTCCGTCATTTTGAAATTTGGAGTGCTGAATTTTATATCAAAAAAAAACTTACACACCTCAGCTTTTATCTCATTTGTTAATTTTTGCAATTTTGATTTTTGCTCATACAGGGTGGTCAAAAACGCAAATTGTAGTTTTTCTCAAAAATTTCAAATGCGTCACCCTGTATACATATAAGGGTTTTTACGGCTATTTTTTGGTTATTAGCACGTTTTTTATGGAACGGCTTAATTCGCATCATCCTTGGAAACAAATAAAATGTTAATTAGTTACACACTGTCAAAATTAGCTTTGTGAGCATTATAATAAAAACGTGTTTGAAATAGTTTAGAAAAACTGAAAAAGCACGCTTTTATAGCTAACCGAACTAAGAAGTAGTAAACAATTCTTAATTAAACAAAGGGTTTATATTATAGTAGTGGATGGTCGAACAATCGGTCACAATTACTGACCTCAAAAAGAAATTATAATAAAATTTAAGTTATTAACAGAATAATTCAAATCAGGCTAAATAGCTTGGGATGCATTTTACTACAGTTTTCATAATTCTCCTCTCATAGATAGATGGCAATAGAATGATTGTAACTTTTAACATGTCAATTGAATTATTCTGTTAATAACTTAAATGTTATTATAATTTTATTTTGAGGTCATTAATTATGATTGATTGTTCGACCATCTAGTACTGTAATATAAACTCTTTGTAATTAAAAGTTATTTTCTAATTTTTAATTCGGTTAGCTATAAAAGCTTGTTTTTTTAGTTTTTTTAACTATTCTAGTCCTAAGAATCCCCATTATCTATATCCGAATCTACAGGTATTCAAACCTATAACGCACATTATTCGTCGGATTTCCGTCACTTAAATTTCCTGTAATTACTACTTAATAATAGACCGTGTTCCACATATCAAAGATGCAACATTAAATATCAGCTTCCCCTAACACCCACTTTTTAAGTACTACATTTTTTTTATGACAACGATTAGAAACCCCTGAAAGTCAAAATCGGAGTTTCAACTTTTGTTATTTTTTTCGTTTTTTGCCTATAGCGCTGCCGTCACAGGACTGAAACCTCAAAGCTTTGGCATAGTGGAAATTTCCAAGTCATGGACGGGCAAAGGATTAGCAGACCGTTAGACGGAAATGATACAGTTTTTCGTGATGTCATATAAGACTTAAAATCACAACTGCGCGCTTCGAAACTGACGCTTCATCTTTGAATATTTTCGAATGAAATTTTTACAGCGTGCTGAGAACAAAACCGTACAGGGTGCAATCGAGCCACTTTTTCATTTTTTCCACTAGGCTCTCTTTAAAAAAATCACAAAGTTCAACAAAAAGAGTAGGCATTTTAATCCACCATAAATCTTGTGCAAAAAAACTAAATTTCAAAAAATGCTCCGTTACCACCCTGGGCAATTGTCTTCTGAACCTGCTGTATCAGTTCCATTCAAAAATATTTAAAAATGGAGTGTCAGTTTCGAAGCAGCTAAACCCTTGTAAATGACTTGAAACTCACTGCGTCGGAGGATAATCGTTCAAACAGCTTCTGAATATCTGCTTCTGAATCAGCCAAGAAGCATTGCCTACTTGAATAACAATAATCGCAGCAAATTCGCAGTCATAAAACTTGAAATCTTGCGCCGCACAGTGGTTCAGAAAGCACCGTTTCAAGTATCAAGATTTCTAATGTTGTTACTGGTAAACCGATTTTTATGAGCCATACCTCATTAGAAAGCTAAAGAAATTCTCGTTAAAAAATTGTATCAAAAATTGTCAAATGGCAAAAATTGAAGTTGGCTGCACTATACACAGAGCGTCCCTAAAAGCTCTTTACAAAATTTTTGCACATATTACTGAGTTCTAGATAAGCCGACTTGACGTAACTTACTTTAGTCCAAATTTGCTCCGATTCCGAGATACAGGGTGGCAAAGTTAGAAAATAAAAATTCTTTTTTTTATCCATGAACATTTCTTCAAAAATTGGTACCGGGGGGTTTTTGGGATGCGAAATCCGAATATAGACATTTTTTCATTGTTGTTTAGCATTGTTCGAGAGCGCTTCACACTGCACTTCGGATTGTTTTAAATGGCCACAACTTGTTTCCCAGTGTAGTTTTTTAATTTTTTAATAAAATAAACAATTTCCTCGATATGTTTAAGCAAAAAAGGCACTTTTGCTAAAATAGGGCATATTGCTGCATGAATGCGGGTTGTGGGGACCCAAAATCAAAATGCTCAAAACTTTACAAAATTGACAATGTGATAGATCCCGTCGAAATAAACAGTTTTTTTCCCATAATAAAGATGTGAATCAAATTTAGTAAAAATAGCTGAAGTCTCAAAAAACTTATGACGAAGAAACGATATTTTTTTTAAACATTTATCTCGAGAATTAATCATTTCACACTTTTTTCTATATTGAACTTAATAGGTCTGGGCTTTCTGTGATTACAGTTACGTCATAGGGCACGTCTAAATTTTAAAAAAATTTATGATTGAAAATTTTTGAAGTTAAAGAGTTATAAAAAATTCATTTTGCGCTACATACAGCTGGTCCAAAGCCTTTGGCGGTACATGTTTGACCGTCATCGATAATCTTACAAATTATGAAAAATCTGTATGTGTATTTTGAATCATGAAGATAATTGCATGTGTTAACCTCAAAAAAGTATCAATATAGAGATTTTAGCATGGATGTACTTGTCACCATATTCGAAAGTCCAAAGTGGTAAGACTCTTATAAAACTTGCATTCCTTAACATATGTTAAAGATTTTATGGTATAAGAGACCTCAGGCTAAAAGTATTTTTTGAATGAATTACACATACGGATTGTGACAATCTTAATTTTTTTATGCTGGGATGACCTGTAAAGAAACATTGAAAATAAGCGTTTTTGATAATTTTTCCCCGAATACTTTGTTACTGCATCCTAAGTTTGAAACTGTCTGAAAACTAAGTTTGATTATATTAAAAATGTCACTATCCCAAAAAGGAACTTGGTAACTAAGACGAAGGGTTACAAGAAACTTAAAAAACATAAAATGGAAATTCATGCCATTTTTTCTTCCTACGCCATGATCAATATCAATAAAGATTTTTGAACATGATTTTTTAAAATCTCATTTCTTATATTCATCAGGCTTCAAAATCCATTTTAAGAGGTTCAGAAATTGTATGTTTGTACAAATTGAAAATATTTCGTATTAATGCATCAGAGCTACTAGACATTTCTTATTATTTTATTTTTCATACTTTTTTACAATTAAAAATTATCACAGAATTGACTATAACAAGGACAAAATGGTGAATGTGTCTTTCAGAATGCTAAACTTGTGCTAAAAAGGGAAAAAAATCAGGCTAGCTCCTGAAGGGCAGTATTATGAATACCAATATCCAAAAACTACTGAAAATAAGTAAGTTACCATTTATTCATTCTTGATATATGTGGCATTTCGATTAAATCGAGAAATATGGTGTGGAAACATTAAATCCAGGGCTTCTCAAGTATTTTTATATTGAGCGTGCAAAATAAAAGGCAAAACTGCACAGTAATACTAATACTCTTAAAAAAATACCATTATAACAGATAGTCAATATCGAATCGAAAATAAAAGACTTTTACCTTTATCAGCCAGCGAAGTTGACCGGTACACTGAATTGAAAATATTTGAACCAAGCTCGGACAGAAAATGAACTTCTGGATGTCGGTGGTACCTATTTGATACTATTCGTCACCCCACCCGATGGTCGTACTTATCATATAATAATAACAACGGTCAGAATGCACGTACAGCAGCGAATAAAATTATAGAACGGGAACTTTTCGATTTTAAAGCCGAATTTCGAACTTATGAGTCTGCTTTCTTTTTGGGCATGTATGAAAACGTTTTTGTCTCAATTTATATCAAGCCTTTTTGGATATAGCGAGTATTTTTGCCTAACTCTAAGCTTAGTACTATCGAAGTGCTATTAGAAAATCATTGTTACCGGAGTAGAGACCAAAGGTGTGTTTTAGGATATATCACACGGATGGAGTGGGCTATCAAATGGCCTTAGTGAGTCACAGAGACCTGTCGAAGTATAGAGCTGTCACATAATCTCAAGACATTGACAGTGTATAGAGTAATTTTGTTACGTCACGAAGGAAGAGGTTGAAATGTACGTTTGCTTCCTGTCTCTACAACAATGACCAAACACAGAAAGCGCTGTTTCGTGCTCATTAGCAACTCATCAGTGCGGTATTTTTACAGTCGTCCTGGAGACAGACGTATTTAACCGCATTTGTTTTTGAAGAAATACGAACTCGCTTAAATGGAAGCAAAGTGGCTGATTTAGGTAATGAACTAAATGCCGCCTAGAAAGTTTCGAAATTCAATGTACTCCCGGAGAGAGACGGAAGAACCCGATTTTTTTATGACTTTATTTCAAAATAAATTACACATTAACGTTGCCACTTTTTCTCCTCTACTTAGAGCTTCAGTATAACATTTCGTCCTTGTAATCCAGCAACAACTTTATCTTTTATTATAGACACCATATTGGATATTTTCACAGATGAATAGAATTTTTAATTATGATTCCAAAAATGTATAATAAGTCATACGTTGACATTGCCATACCTTAGTTATTTCAAAGAAGCAGAATTTCCTAGGGAGGCCTTGAAATTATCAGATAGGCATTTGTTTCGCAAACCCGATTTATCCCAAAAGGGACCTGTGTTTCATCAAATTCTCATCACTACGAGAAAAAGCTGTTGAATCATACTTATGTTCATGAAAGCAGTCAACGTTTTCATCTAGAAAAAAACTAGGGAGTAGCTGTCTGACATTTCTAAGAAAGGCTTCAAAAAATGTGTTGAGCAGTGGAAGCACCGGTGGGGCAAGTGTATTAGTTGTAGTGGCCAGTATTAAGGTTACTTTGTAAAAAAGTTGAAAATAAATAGCTTTTAAAAAATAATTCCGGTTTTTTTGGGTACCCCTCGTATAGGACAAATGTTTGCACATCGTTTGGTGCAAGAATCAACCAAAAAAATATTTTGTTATCAGTTTGGTATTAAATTATGATCCAATACCATTACTAAATTGGTATTTTTTTCGATAGAAAATTCCTACAACTAACAATATTGGAAAGCCTCTATCGATTTTGAACTAATAATAAAACATTGAATTGACCGGTTTTTGCACCGAACCCTTAAATTGCACTGCTTTACGAAATAGTGTGAAAATGTGACTACACATTTTTGTAACGGCTTAGTTTGAATAATAATATTCTCAAGGAGCAAATGTCACAATATTCATAGTTGTGACTTTAACTAGGTGTTTCTAGAAAAGTTTCAGTAAATTAAAAAGAAAATTATTAATAAATCCCGATATAAAATGTCATTTAGAAGTCAACTTCTTAAATTTGAGTAGCATCCACCATTTTTGAAAGCAGATATATTCTATATCCTATATAGTTTTCATATATGCAGTCAGGCGGGCATAAATTGACAAATTAATAGGTCCGCATGCTATCTTTATGTGACAGTGACAATTCCACACAGGAATGAGTGGGAACAGCAAGTTAACCTGATAAGGAAAGATATCTGTGCATACACAGATGGCTCCAAGGCCGAGGTAGTTGTTGGAGCTGGTATCTTCGTGCCAAAGCTAAAGATTAAAAAATCTATTAACCTAGGAACCTGGACATCGATTTTCGAGGCAGAGCTATATCCTATAGAACTCGGTGCCAGAATCATCGCAGAACCACAACTGAGGCACAGAACTATTATTTTTTCAGATAGTCAAGCCGCACTTAAAGCACTTGAATCTACCTACTCGACATCGAAACTAGTGTGGAATTGCAAAGAAGTTTTCGGTAGCATAAGGGAGGGAAATGAAGTCCGTCTCATATGGATACCAAGACAAATGACACAGCTGACACTATGGCAAAGAGTGTGGCTAGCACACCCTTCATAGGACCTGAGCCAGCAATTGGGATCGCATACAATACGGCTAAACAAATAATCTCTGCAGAGATGGACAGAAGGATCCATTAATACTGGGAGGGATTAGCAGGGTTAACCCATCTTGACAAAGAAGGACACAGACTCTTTGGTACAGCTGAAGAGGAATAGCATCAAAGCTCTAATAGGACTGTACACTGGTCATTGCAGACTGTACATGGAGGGAGATGAAACGGTAAGCATGTATTGTGCAGATGCCCTACAATCGCCAGAATCAGGTACAACATACTTAGAGACGTAGTACTCCAATCAGAAGACCTGAAGGATATTTCTCCAAACAAGTTAATCGACTTCCTCAGGAGGTCGGAGCTAATGGGGGAAATATAAATAGGTGTGAGTCACAATATACCAGAGAGTCGCAGTGGAGGATTGTTATTGATGCACCTAGATCCTAGACCTAGATGCTATCAAATAATTCATCATATCAAACGACGCCTAAGGTCTAGGTCATACCAATTACCTTTTTCGTGTTTTGGAGCTTTTGTTCAATCCCTTTTTTTTTGAAGCGCATTGTATTATCAGACGTTACAGTTTGACCTACTGATTTGCCTAGCCCTGATTCACGTATGAAAAGTGATGCTAATGTAGGTTCTTCAGCTGATTACGGTTCTTCTGCCAAAAATTTCAGTTGCTATTAGAGTTGGAGAACTCGTAATTTCAGACAAATGTATTATAGGACCGTTTTTTCTGAATGTAAAGGTTTAGCTGCTGTCCTCCGCATACGCTTAAGTGGCCCACCCTGTAGTCGAACCTTTTTAAAGTAAATTTTCAATTATTGAGAAGGAGAGATTCATAGATGTGACAAATTTACGCTAGGGAATCTAATCTCATTTCGGATAATGCTTTGGACGCCGAAAAGCAGTATACGATCGGATATCTTCAGATCGAATACGTTAATCATTATTTTGTTATTTTTTTTTTTTTTCAAAGCGGCGCCCTGCCAATTAGGCTTCTTCCTGCATGGCTGCGTCGGTGTAAAAAAGCAAGCATTTAGGATGCTAAAAGTGAGAAATAATATTTCAAATCTATCATCAATGAGAAGCAAAAGAATTTATGTCAAAAGCATTTGGCGTGCAAAATTATCGGAATAAGCGCATTGTTCATCTGTTTGGTAATTATGAATCATGTGTTATTTAGACTCGAATATATATTTCCAATCTTAACGGACACTTGCTATAAATATTTATTGACGATGCATGCTTGCATACCTTCCCGGTGTATAGACATAATAATAATGTATTATCAATAATCATTCTTTTCTCGAAAATGGCGACAAGAGCAATCGGCTTACGAATTCCTGTTAATCTATTGTTATAAAATGCCCTCACTCATTTCTATTTTATTTTTTAAGGAATAGCTGTTACTCGACACATGTTGGATGCGCTATAATGTTGCATGCGCCATGATTTCAAAAAAGTCTGTTGACAAATAGATAAAAGGGAATAAAAATGAAACAAACGTCAGACTATACAGTCATTTTATTAGATTTTAAAGAAAAAGCTATGAACATATATGATATACTGAAAGAAACCCTGCAAACACCCTTTCAATGCTGATACTGTTTGGTATGATTGATGAATAGGATAATTTCCGACATCCAACTTTGTTTACCACTGAAAGCTGGAAATTTGCAATAAGAACTTCAAACACTTATTGATGAACAAAATTGTTGACAGTGTTAACACATGTGTTTATCTCACCACTTGCAGGTGTACGCAAACTTTGTTTTAAACATCTTATCCTATTCTTCCGAAATTATAACATACCGAATACATACCAACATTGAGATAATCTATGATATACCTACTGAAATAAAATTGATATCAAAATACTAAACCCTTAATTCTATTAATTATAGTACTTTATAATTCTGAACTGGTTCATTTATGGAAAATACTTATTTTTGAAAATATCATATAACAGAACATCAACAGTTCAGCTAAAATAATTAAATCATCAGATCGTTAGAACCAATTTTTCCAAAAATAAACCCGATCAAATTTAGATGAAAATATACTTCTAAGTAACTATTAAATTTAAATTAATACTAAGATACTAAGTCTAACAGTAATAATACTTGACGTTTTTGACTTAACTGATTTTAAATTTACGCCAGTATAGAAAAAATCGTGTTTGCAAGCATCATTAATCAAAACATCAAAAATTCAAGTCAAGTTTATATAAAAAACGGTACTGGCTATTTAAAATCAATTATTTCATGAATATTTATCCTAAACTAAGCACGAAAAAATACTTCACTCTTAACAAGTACATACTATTTTAAAACATTATGCTAAATATTATATTTTAATTTTATAGTAACTAGCTATGCCATATCATAGTCATCATATGCGGGCATATTTTTGTTGTTGTTTCACCCTTACTCTTTAGATCTTCATAACTGTAAGTCGTATTTGTTCCCCAATAATAAATATAGTAGAATAGTATGATAGAAGATTAATATAGTTTAAAAAACTAATACTTAATACTGAATAATGAAATGCTTTCAAAATAAAATCTGAGTCTTAGCACTTCATCAGAAATCACCGATTCTTTGACGTAGCTACCCACAGTATTTGGTATCCCAAAGCTATGATTCATAATATAACAGTTTTCTTTGCAAATGTAAATACACTCATACACATTTCTCCAAATAAGAGTGTTAGTTCCAGCATCACAGCCATTTGAGACATCATGTATACTTCACGGATTATTTACTTAAAGATTATTGAAAATTAAGACAGGTATTTTCAAAA